CGACCGCAACTTGCGGGAAACGGAACTCAAATAGGCACAAAAAATACACTCATTTTTGACCACGGCGCACCGGGTGTGTGGCGATTCTATCGTCGGCAAGTCAGGTCACGTCGCGCACATCGCGTCGCGGCGTCTCGCGCGGCGGCGCGGTGCGACAATTCCGGAGTTGCATTACCGACATACAAATGAGTCTCGAAGACCGCGTATTCACAAGTTCCGACGAGCACGACGCAGCAGGACTCGTACGCGGCGCCCACCAGCGCGGCGACCTACTTATCATCGACGATAGAATCGCCACACACCCGGTTCAGCGGCGAAGTATTGACATGTGTGCGCCGAGTACTGCAGGGGAGCATAAATGAAATCCAGTCAACGAAATTCCCCCCCCCTCCCTCCCCAGCTTCTGCGCACATCCGAGTGATGAACCTGCCACACTTCACGAGTGCGGACCTGTCCACCTCAATCGCATAGCGGTTCCTGAAGTTAAGAGCCCACCACATGGGTAAATTGGTTGCACCCTGTCACAAACGTATCAATTTCAGTGACAGGGTGCAAGCAAGTCAGCACCTGCCGGTTTCGCTGTCGCGCCAGGTTGGCGGTTCTCTCAATTGTGAATATCACTACCTCAAGTGTCCAATTATGGATGAGGCGCTCATCAACGTCCATTGTTTTTCCTCCATTAGTTTTTGATAGAAGTTGAAAAACTGTTTCAGCTGTTCGGCATTCGGCCGATGTACCTCGATGTTTATCTGAAAACGTACATATTTCATTCCTTCAGGCAAATGGAAATGTTCAGTATTATATGAGTAAACCTCCGAACTCACTTGACAAATCACTATTTTTTCACGAGCCAGCTGACCATTCAATAGTAAAAATGGTAACATCGGATATTCAGCGTGCTCAATATCAACCATCAACTGGTCAATAACATTCCTTTGTACATATTGTCGTAAGAACGTAGCGATGTCAACGTATTTCACGTCCTGATACCGATAGATATCTGAAATTTCGGACGACTTTGCGAACTCATTATTGTGTGATTCACTGCTGATACAATCGTTATCGCTACACAAGCTGGGGCGTGTCATGGGAATGAGTCTGGCGCAGGACCAGCCCGTTCTCCACAATTTCCTGAAGGGAACTATGACAACAGTCGGTGGAATACTGGCTGCTGGCGCCGCGCCAAACCCGGCCCCTTGACACGCTGCAGCGTCTGCAGCCAGGAAACACATTCTACAATCCCAGTCGTAAGTCGTAAGAGTTCAATTATGTACATGTGAAATGAACACGACGAGGGATCAGGGCACATCATTAGTTGGGAATTTTGGTCAGGTCCGTACAGCCCCCCTTTTTTTAGGGGATTGTTACGACCCCTCTTCCCCATCTTACTTATCACTTTCATCGATTTCCCCTACTTCCTACCAGTTTCCCAGTTTCTCCGGAAGTTCGCAGGAAATCTTCGGACTTTTTCCCCAAAAATTTTGCTGTCGAGCGGAGGGTGGGGGGGGGGCAAAATCAACAGCCTCTCTCGAAAAGCCAGAAAGCAACTACGACCCCTCCCCACTCCCAACAATGAGCGAGTACGTACCCTCCCTTTATACCCTCTTTGGAACAAAAAATAAACTACCAAAAAACGTTTTCTCAGCCCGAATACGATCCTCCTCTCCCAGCTACCATATAGGACCCCCTGTATTGGGGAATCCCCAGCAACGATGTGCCCTGCGAGGGATGGCAGTGTTGGATACAACAGAAGCATGCAGTGAAGCTACAGCGGTGGCGAGCAAGGCCCTGTCATTTCTTATCTATGTAGGAAAATTAGGGAGGCACATATGTGAGCAAAATTATATGGTAAAGTAATAGAATGAAGAGAATTACTATTTGTTGACTCGTGTTTACAGCCGCAGTGCGCGATACGAAAGTTATAACACGCATGCATGAGTTGTGAGGCAAAAAGTCGACCAGGCGGACTCGCGAATCCGGTCACCTTCTGCTTACAGGCAGGTGCGTTACCATTACGCTAGCGGGGCACATTGACTCGATCTCAGCTCAATGCTATTTGTGCCATTGCCTTCGAGCACTCACACGTTCAACGTGATGAGCCGGTTAGCCGATATCGGCAGTGAACCGCAAGGCTGAAGGCTTTTTACAAGTTTTAGACTGTTTTTGTTTTGATAACTGCTGTTTTACGCCGCAGTGCGCGATACGAAATCAACAAGAATGCTGAGTAGTGGTCAATAATGGGAACCCGGCGGCGACTCTGAACCCGCATCTTTCTGTTAAGCGGCAGTTCGTTACCACTACACGCTACCGGCGCTACTTGACTTCTCACTCATGAATAAAGAGAATTACTAATTTAGTGAGAGTTTTTTCTTTTGAAACGTATTCGAAACAATTAGAGAACAGGCATTGATAATTTCTAAGGGATCAGTATTCTGAAATAGCTTAGTTATGTTTTGCGAACTTTGCTTTGAGGCAGAAAATAACCAAATGTTGCATATCGTGAAAGAAGTTTTGACTCTCTAGAGGTTCGTACTTCAGCTTCACTTTCTGAGCAATATTACACTGAAAAATATGATATCCAGGACGACGCAAGCCGCATTTTTAAACTCCTTTCAGTCTGACTTCTTTTATATATATTGGCCAGCACAAGCAGGGAAAGGGTGATTTCCGGGTTTGAGTTCCGCCTCCTAGGATCAAGACTTCTGCCCATAACTCAGAATTCTTGCAATAGCTCTCGATGCGCGAACTGTGGAGTTAAACAACATTCATCATAATGAAATTAAAAAAAAAATTAAAAAAATAGTAACAGCAATAATAATAATAATAATAATAATAATAATAATAATAATAATAATAATAATAATAATAACAATAATAATAATAATAATAATAATAATAATAATAATAATAATAATAATAATCAAATAATAATTATCACAGTAATAATCAGCAGAAATATATTCGTCTTTGTCCCGCAATGAAGTAATTACAATAAAAACTATCACAGAATAGGTTCCCTTACAGGAAAACTATCAAATTTCCGCTCACTGTGTATTTGCCGGATATAGTCATTATCTCTGAAAAGCAGAGGGTGTATGAGCGCGTTTGGACCGGAGAGCGCCAAAGCATTCTTTTTCACTGTTAGTGGGGGCTCAGAATGGCACTAATTCATGGGAAAAACCGCCCAGACGTTGCTCCAATCCACGCCCCCTCACACGCCCTCTCCTTTGTAGGAAGAATGACTGCACACAGTGGTGATATATGGGTAGTTCTGATTGGATGTCAGAATGGCACTCATGGCCAGTTGTGAGCACCTACAGATGGGGCAAAATGGAAGCAATGGGAAGAGTGGACACAGCAGCCAAACGCGTCAGGCTTCAAGAATAGAAAGGCGGTTTTGTATTCAGCATGACAACATGTGGTGCGCTTTTTCTAAATAAGACTCCTCGTCATCATTGGGGTTCTTTTCGCATCGTAGATGAACTGTCTCCAAACACTAATGGTCTGGAATTAGCCAGTGAACTCACCCTCCAAGACATAGGATCTGAAGGTGCCGTTCTCAGCTCCAACAGCAATATTGTAAAACTTGCCGACCTAAAGAATATAATCATGCAATGGATCTTCGATACATAACGAATAGTCTTCAAATAAAGCCCACACCTCTGGAAAGATATCAGCATTTGTGTCGTTGACCGGATCAGCACCCCAGAACTCACAATTTGGCATAGCCGTTTTCATTGACTTTTCAGCTTCCACATCCTTTCCTATTCCAAGCGACACTATTGTGCATTCCTTGTATGACTTCTAAACCATAATATTGCAGTTATTGTCGAATCACAGGAATCAAATGGAGGACTTACACCGGGTATTGGCATCACATGATACTTGAGTTCGTCGGTATTCGAAAAGCCTTCCACCAAGAGGCGATTCTGTGGTGCGCATTTGTTCACGTAATAGGGGAAATAGCTCCATTGCTTAAATTATGCATTGGTTCGTGATCCTACTATATATAACCCACTAAGTATGTCTGTAAGTGTGTGTGTTTGTCTGTTTGTTTGTGTGTGCGTCTGTCTGTCTGTCAAGAAATTCATA